TTTCTGATGAAGGGTCTAGGCCCGAAACGTCAGCCTTTCTGCTCCTATGATGCTGCTTGGCCTGCTGTGTTCATCCAGCTCTGCGCCTACTTGCCATCAGACCCAGTCTTAAGGAAATCATGGATTTTGGAAAGTGATAAAAGAGCACATCTTGAGGTGAAAGGTAAAGTGAAGTAACTTCTATTTGCAACTTTGATTTTGCATTTCTCTGCAAGCCCTGCATTTGGATTTGTTGACCAAACTATTTGACAGCAGAGGAAAGAAATAATTCACTTGCTGTTCATTTTCCAGGAGCGTACTAATTGTTAACAGCGTTTCATGTCCAAATCTATAACATTATTACTATTTTTGGTCAGTGCTCCTTATCTACAAAAGTTCCCATTAAAACAGATGGTTCAACCAGGTCTTACATGTATGAGTAAGAAGACTTGTGCACAGAAAACTCTTAGATCTTGTGCTCCTATGAACAACTAGGGTGTAATCATTTCTTTTAAGTGGTTCCAAATGTTGACACATTTTATGGAAACTTTGTCCTAACTTGTTAGTCAGCTTCCTAATGGAAAATTGTGCTTTCACTGCAGAATCCATTTTGTCGTTCTGCAGCACCAGAAACAACTACAGAAAAATACACAACCTGATGACAGACAAAAATTTAATAAGCTTGATAATTCCCCAGGACTACTTTGTAGACAATATTTGGAGGATTTTGGTTTGGAAACCTGTGCCTTAACCTAAGTGTTTTAAACCCCTAGGCAGACCATTCCAGAATTCTTTCTGCTACTTCACATTGAGCATTGTTATTGAAATTGAAATTGCAGGAAAAACTCAGCAGGTCTGGTAGCATCTGAGGAGAGAAAGCAGAGTTAACGTTTTGGGTCCAGTGACCCTTCTTCAGAACTTCAGCTGCCAGAACTGCTGCATTTTTTCCAGCAATTTCTGATTTCCAGCATCTGCAGTTCTTTTTTTACTCTGCATTCAGGACTGTGCTTAAGTTACTCAATATCTAATTCTTTTGCAGATGTGAATCATGTACTGTAATTGCTCTGAATTGTACCAATGTGTTGATCAAGATGATTCTGCCAGTTTCATGAGTCTCGGGTCATCAAAAATGCAGTGTACAGTTCTTTTACTGCCTCCAACTGAATCAACTAGGGCAGTCAATTCTGTTTCTGTGCTTACTTGCGTCGTCAGGAACTTCAATATAGGAATGTGCATTGACAGAATAGAGAGCAAGTTGTACAGCCTGTGCTGAATGTAGCCTAAAGCTAAAGATTCGTTAATAAATTTTTGTATTTTTGAAGGTTTTTATGGAGAATTGAATATTTTTAGTTGTTACTTGAAGTTGATGAATATTACAGAACTTAACATTTTTAAATCATTAAATCGATCTACGATGCAACGTAGAACTCCCCATAATCAGTTGCAGCACAGATATGAAAAGCCTTATTGGTCTCAGAAAACACATCATGCTGATTAGGATTAAGTCATATTTTATGAAGTTAGCATCAAAAATACTTTTTAAAGTTCTCCTCTAGCTTTTTTAAATCCAATCTGAATATCTTTTGCCAGTTTCAAGACACACTGCAAAAATTCTGAATGACAAAAAATGAATGACAGCCTTTCATTTGTATGTGGCTCAAAGGCACAGGTTTGTTAAGACTAAAATGACATCTTTTTACAGCAGCTTTTCTGCAAGAAACCTGATCTTAGATCACAATAGACACATACAGTGCCAGAACATGGAGGATAATCTGACCTAAAATCCCCTTACATGACTCAGTGATCTAGTTTCAATCTCTCTTCTCCCTAGCCTATATTCTTGAGCCTTCATCTCTTTTCCCTGAACCCTCTATTCACTGACCTCTAGCTTTCCTGATTCCTGAGCCTTCCAACTATTCAACCCCTTGTGCTTGATGCACTTGTGACTTGCTGTGACAGTGGATGAGTGATGTCATTGAATCTTGAGGCATGAAGAGCAGCTGGTAATATCACTGAGTTGGGCTGGGGTTTTGGAGTGTCTGTGGGGAAGATCCCTCAATTTCAGGAAACCACTTTCACTCTCAGAGGCTTGGAAACATAATTTAGAACCTTCTCACTCAGATGGGAGTGTGGAGTGATGGCACAAACCATGCTGATTGATCACTTTGTCAGTCTGGAACTTGTGCTGGACATTGGTATGTAATTCTCCAATTCCAATATCCTTTCTTTGTCAAGATTAGAATGAAAGAATAGCAAATCTGAACAAAGGCATGGGGGGAGGAGAGGAGGGTGCTGTTTATTTTTTGTGTGTGTGTGTGTGTGTGTGGCGGGGGGGGCGGGGGGAGGTGGGTGGGTAATGGTGGTGGTGTGGTTGGAGTGTGAGGAGAATTCTGGGTAATATTGCCTGTAACTTTAGTTAACCTCAGTGGAGGCTGGGAAAGATTTTTTTAAAAAATTCGTACTGAAGATGCAATTAATCCCCGCAAAGTGCACACATAATTTCAGGAGATGTTTTGGGAATTCCAACAAAACGAGTCATATGTAAAATATTGATTTGTACTCTAATGTACTTTTAAGATGTTATAATTGACTGCAAAACAATAAGATCAAATGTTGCCATATGGTCCTTACTTGGTTGATAAATTCCTTGAAACATTTCTCTTGAGTTTATATGAGTTCCTTTGCTTCGGATAAATTAATTGTTTTGGAAATGTGAACCATGAAATATTGAATGGAATGTTTGCATCAGATTTCCAATTGGAGAGGGCTGGAACCTTGCCTCTCCAGTGTGGATCTTGAACCTCGATCTGCAGCATTTCTTTTGAATAATTCTCTCTTTTTCTCAATGTTGGAAAAGAAGCATTCACAAGCTTCAAACTTAATATAAATTCTTCCAGTTAGGGTGCAACTATTCATGAATTGATAGCTGTTTATATCTTACACCAGATTTCCCAACTGCCCCTATAGCAGCATGCAAGACTTCTAAACCAGCAAAACCAGCCAGGTGGCTACTTGTAACTGTGTTCCATCCTTCTAGCATGCTGCAGATTGAGATGTATGCTTTAAATAATATTTCAGTTCTTAGCCTTATGATTAACTGATCAGATCCAGTCTTTGGATTCTCTCTCCTGCTTGACTCATCAGAAACTTGCGAATTTATTTTGTAAGGGGTACATTCAAATGTCTGCCACCTTCTTATTTTTCTTACCTTTTAAGTTGACTTGCTTCCAATTTCTGTTGTCACTCTTGGAAACGTAAGAATGCCTCTGGGTGATCCACCCTGTATTACTACCTCTGCACTGTTGCAAACCTTAAAATATTAAAAAAATATAATTTAAAAACATATTGATATTGTGCAGATATGTAATGCTAAGATGAGCTTCAACTTCAAATTGGGTGGTCTTTGTGTGTTTATAGCACGTACTGGCGAGACTGGTAGTTCACAAACATCTGCTATGTCTACAATTGTGCATAGCTTATGCATGACTACTGTACAAGTACATAAGGAAGCTGGGAAAGTTATAGGCCCACCATAGCAGAGAATCTGATACTTGAGAGCAATGACCAGATTTGTGGGTAATGATGAAAATTGATATTCTTTCGTTTAACATCGGTGGTAGATGAAGCAGCTGTAGAAATAGTACAATCTCCAATCAGAACTATAACTTCTGCTTGATGTATGTCATTTTGGAATGCTAACTAGTTAATTCTATTTTTGATACTTCTCTCATTTAGGTGGTGTCTTTTGGCCCCTGAGCATATCTAGTCCTTTAATACCATTACATTTGCAGTATAAACCTAGAAAGTTAAGGGCAAAGGTTGTGAGGCTTTAGTGTTTCTGCATTGTTTTATTAGAAGTGCATGCATATGTCCCTGAATCTAAATCCTTGCAATTCTTGCCATGGGAACAACCAATCCTGTCCCTTCCTTCCATCCCAAAGCTAAGCCATTCAAATTTACTTTTTGTTACATGGCTGACAATCAGACCTGAGATCTTCTGGTGCTGAGTTGACTAGTGCCTTTACCAATTAGACCAACAGACAATTGACCATTGATAACTAACAATGCTCAGCAAAATCATTTTTGTAAATTACCCCACTTTCAGTTGCAAACAATTATGCTGAAATTTCAGCTACAAATTTTCAGGTCAGGAAATTTCAAATGACAACAAGTCAATTTACAGTTTACGTTTTTTGTGTGGATATAGTTACTGATGTAGCTGTCAGAAACGCCATCTCAGAAAATTTTTGATCAATAAAATCATAGGCCAGATGAGGCTGGTATTTGAAATGAATTTTAATGTTTTTGAGACTCTGTTAATTTACCTGTTTTCTTTAAGGGACTTGTGTCATAGTAGCCGAGAGTGTAAGCAAGAATGAAGGACTTGAGGGCCTCAGAGATGTTTTTGGAATGTGAATCACTAACTGAGCTTTATTTTGTTAATTCTATCCATTGTACAGCTGAAACCAAAAATTCCTTGCCGTTCTCCAGTGTTCACAGTTTTACACAGCTATCAGTTAATGCTACGTTTTGCCAACCTGTCTTTGCTCACTTCTCTGCAGAGAGGAAAGATACTGAAGGATGGGAAACGGTACAGCGTGGAAGAGCTACCCGATCACGTTCTGCCACAATGGCTGCGAATGCTTCTACTAAGACTTCAGATATGATGTACCTGAGTCTTAAGGATGACAGTGATAAAGAAAATGGGCTGTCAATATCCCAGAATAGGAAAATAGACTTTGAAAGTAGTCCTAGTTCTGAGAGCATGACAGATTCACCAGAAAAGTTAATTAACAGGAATGAAGACACCTCTGTAGACATCCTCAAGGTATGTATTAGCTACATAAAGTAAATAAACTGGTAAAATCTTCCGTTAGTAATGTTTAATGTTGACAATCAATCTTAAAAAAAGGTATGAGACAGCTAACAGTACAATTTTATTAAATTGTGTTCCGCTTGCTTCCCTGTGATCATTATGAAGTCATGAAATGAAATAAATTAAGGTTTAAAAAGTGAATATACAGTTTCTTTAAATGTAGTGCAACTAACAAGTGGATATTTATTTCTGCACACTTTGTTTCCCTGTCAAGGCTCAGTTGCTTTCATTTTTCAGTTGTACCGTGATTGTTAATTGCAATACCCAGGCTGAATTTGTAATGGTGAAGTTCCAGTAATAATAACAGTTTTGAATTTTTATAGGTATATATAAGCTGTTCCCTCTGATGCACTTTGTGCAGCTGATGTCATGTCCTGGTTTGCAATGTGTCATCTGCTTATTGCTTGCACCTGTGATGATATTGTTGCTCTGGTAGGAGTTTTTTCCCTCTGGTGAGAGTTGAATCTGAATATTAATTAACATTGGTTAGTATTGGTTAAGTAAATTAAATAAACAGTTATTATCAAAAGAATAAATGAAAATAGGCCTTGGAGAATGAGGGCAGCCTGTGTGGTAATTAGTTAATTTGAATAAATAAGCAATTGTGGCAAATGAAGGATCAGATACAAATAATTAACTAAACCTGATTTCTTGAGTTCTGTTGGAATTGGATTTAAATAAAGGAGGAGAGAAATTTGGACTCAAGTTTAGGAGAGTCAGCATCAGGAATAAGTAGTGGAAAGGAGCATAGATAAAGTTATTAAAAACATCTTGGGAAACAAAATGGGGACCCCAGGGTGAGGGAGAAAATCAGAATCAGATAGGGAAAAGCAATATTATAAAGTTGAAATGCAGATTTTCATTTGTAAGCGTGATTAAAGAGAGGAGAAGCAAAAATAAGCTTTTGGATGAAGAAGCAAAGTTAAGAGCTTCAAAGGGTAAAAATGGCTTAGCAAAGAGATATGTAGAAGAAAAGCGGAAAAGAAACGAAACAAAATGCTCCAGGAGGAGAGGGCTAAGGCAAGGAGACATGACTTTGGTGTAATGGAATGCACAAGGAGATACATCAGTCTAGTTTAAGTAGCATTGGCTGGTTGAAAGCTGACTGCAGAAGCATTCATCTTTCACATATTTGTGAGATTGTTCGTAGTTCCAACCTGTTGTAACCCTATAATTTGGGGGAAAAAAGACCTATTTAGTGACATAATTACACTATTATGCTTTCAGATTTCAAACAGAGCATTGACTTATTTTTAAAGACTCTATTTCACCACCTGCCCTTTGATCAGTAATCTGGCTGACACCACTCACACAAGAAATGACCATCCAAAAAAATGTTTTTTTCTTGAAAAAACACCCTTCAGGAAGAGATTTTATCACAACTGTTTAGTATCTGCAGCTCTGTTCCATGCTGAGAAGTGTTCTGAATGCCAGGTGTCTGAATATATTGTATATAGTTCCAATACCACCAGAGACAGTAAATTTATTCTGATTTTGTTCCAGATTCATCCCTCAATTCACTTTGCATCCATTACATGCACCGGAATTTAGCGAACAGAATTGTTAACCATTATGTGGTTACTGTGGGTTTTTTTTGAAGAAGTAGCCTGCACTGATGCGAAATTCTGACTACTGTCTGGTATATTATAACTCAGTAATCCAGAAATATCAATCATTCCAAGAGCCCAGTAGACTACACATTTGTATTAAATTGATATTTTATGTTGGATATTATGTAATTTTAAATTCTTGGCTCTGAAAAGTTTCCCTTCTGTAAATGAATTGCTTTAGAGGACGTGTTGTTTCCAGGATTAGTGCATGTATTGTCACTCAACCATTAGCTACTGAATCTTTGGAAGACACAATGATTTTAATAGTATTCCACCTCAGTGCTAAAATTGTAGGTATTGTGCTTGATGTTGACATTGATGCTCAAGGTAGAAAGTGCTCAATACCTCAACACAGATAAAGGTCACTTTGATAAGCACAAATTTCACAAAAACACAAGTTACAATATTTCATACTAAATCAGGATTTAATAATGTGTGTGCAAACAATAATAGTTCAGAAAACATAAAATAGCTTTGTACTTAATATTCTTGAAATTAATTTAACATTATCTGTAATTGTTAGAGTATAAATACCACTCAATTCATAAATATTCTCAACTGTAATATTTCTTTTGACATTGTCTTATAACACATTGTTACTTTTAATCCTCAGGTTTATTGTTATGACTCATGACTGCAGTCATATACTTAATTAATGGAATTGTGTTTCACTAAAAGCCTGAAAAACATGATAATGCAAAAAAAATTCTAATTTAAATAGTTACTTTCTAGATACTATTAAAGCTGGTGCATTTAGCTTTTTAGACCATTTGCAAGCATACCACAGAGCTTCAGAGCTGTGTAGAAAGTTCCCATTAATTTATAAATTCTGACAATTGTTTTGGTGTTTTGATTTTACATTTCTTTAACAGCACTAGTACAATCTTTGGCAAATGTTCACATTCACAAAATTCAAATCGAATAAGTAAATAGCCATGTATAGAATAGTATCAGCTGGATTGCAAGAGCTTTTGAGAGTGAATGCCTTCTACATTGCAAATTGGACATAACATTTATAGTATTTCCTTTGGAAGAATAGATCCAGCAGTCCTAAGACCATCTTGCCCAGTAATTAGCAACCCACCCTCTATCAATCTTCCCTACAACTCCTGTGCTTCTTCGCATACTTAAACACTCTCCTGAAAACCCAAACCTCTGATCACACTTCTATCTACACCTCTCCAAGCTCTGCTTTGGCTCTGCATCCATTTTGTTTTGATTATGCTTTATGAATTACTTTGGGCTATTTGCAGTTAAATCTGCAATGTAAATACAAACTTTTTGATGTGATTGTCCTTCCGCCAGCCTGTATTCATCATCCTCAACAGTTGGAAAAGTCTTTGAACAAACTCTGCACCAGTAGTCAGTTGTATATTTCCACCAGGGCTTACAAATGCATACTGCCATGTAAATAGACTATATTCCGCTGCAGGGTTTCCAATTCAACTGGTTATAAAATATGGAGGGTATTATTTTACATGTAAGCATTTTACGCTATAGCTGCCTTCTCTTTTATAGCCTGCAACAAAATATCCTTCTTACAAGGTGTTTCTAATCTAATTAGTATCTAATTGTAAATTCACATTGTCTTTGCAGAGCTTTAATGCTGGAGAGTTGGGCCAAGAGAGCTTTGTATTTTAATCAATAACAGTGTTTTGAATAATTGCGGAGCCATTGAAATGTCTTGTTAACAAGCATTATGTTACATTAGCACACAGCAAATATGTCTGCGGATCCAGTGCAGCCTGATAATGTGCCTTTGCAAGGCAAGCCTTGGCAGCAAGACGCAGACTCCATTGAGAGTGAAAGAGATGTCACCTGTCTGTCAGAAGATGTAAACGTGGAAGTGATACCTGTCATTTCCGTACAAGAACCAACTTTGTCAGACACCCCAAAACTGGGACATGACGTAGATCTCTCTGGCGATCTTTCAAATGTGAGTAGCAAAAGATTAAGTGTAAAGTGCTTCAGAGATAGTAGGAACTGCAGATGCTGGAGAATCTGAGATAACAAGTGTAGAGCTGGATGAACACAGCAGGCCAAGCAGCATCAGAGGAGCAGGAAGGCTGACGTTTCGGGCCTAGACCCTTCTTCAGAAATGCAGAACACCTACGCTCGGTTCGCACTAAACAACTGCACCTCCCAGTCACGAACCATTTCAACTCCCCCACCCATTCCTCAGATAACCTGTCCATCCTGGGCCTCCTGCAGTGCCACAACGATGCCACCTGAAGGTTGCAGGAACAGCACCTCGTATTCTGCTTGGGAACCCTGCAGCCCAATGGTATCAATGTGGACTTCACAAGCTTCAAAATCTCCCCTCCCCCTACCACATCCCAAAACCAGCCCAGCTCATCCCCGCCTCCCTAACCTGTCCTTCCTCCCATCTATCCCCTCCTCCCACCTCAAACCCCACCCCCATCTCCTACCTACTAACCTCATTCTGCCCCCTTGACC